TTGGAAGTCCAAGGTCTGACTGCACATAAGGTAAGTCTTGTATAGCTTTACTTTGTAAATACATGTAGTCTATTTTCAACATTACTGTATTTTAACCCATTGACTCCCGTGCCGGCCGTAACCGGCCGTGGTGAACCTCGGCCCTTCTTCCACTTCTGACGTCATCCCTTTTGACGGGTCATGTAGCAGCTGTCGTAAGATCCTAAGCTAATTGGTTCGATACCCAAACTCCCAAACAATGCTAAAACAATAGTGACAATTGAAATCTATTGTTTTAAGAATCCAATGAGAAGAGACCTTACGAAGAGCTGCTACACTACCGCTTTTGACCAAATTTGGCATCATCTATACTCAACTTGTGCAGGAGGAAAACATCTTTCCAATGATGCCCAGATCAGGGTGATTGGCTGAGTGGAGCCCGAGATATGCACAAAAATGCTCAAAAAGTTGAGTGAAAAACTCGGAGCAAAATTTCCTGCCACTACACCTGGCTGCTCCATCGTAAAATTTGCTCGTCTCGATGACTCTTTCTTAAAGTTTTTTAACCGCAAGCAAGCCCAGTAGAAGGTCAATAACTGCAGCGAAAAGAAAAGAAAACTGAGGCGAAAAAAAAAATTCAAAAATCGAAAAGCCTAAGGACGTAGGTCACTTTTTCCTCCAAAAACTATCCCAAAATTTTGTTTTCAGCGCATGCCCTAGCCAGAATGTCATAAAACGCGATGCAAGTGGCAAGACCAGATTAAAGCTAATTTGGCCGAAATCCAGCCTCATTTACATGGGTTTGGATCCTAGTTTTTCCTTGTACCAAGATAGCAGCTACAGACTCGTGTAAATTATTCTCTGTTTGAAGTAAAAATAGTTTGTGACGGTATTTACTCTTGCATGTAAAGGGATGATCTCTGGGAAAACAATTTCTCGTCTTTAGATTTAGATATTTTGTATGATTTTCATAATTCAAAGTTCTCTGTTTCGACATGTAAATCTTACAATTGCACCATTTAAAAGTACTTTTATTTTACCCAGTTTCAATTTAGGTGTTTAACGGGACAGATATACTTGCATATTTTAAAATTTTAGTAGTTTCTGAATATTTCAGTAACAATGATGAAAATTGGATACCTAGAGCAAATAACGAGGATAAACTTGTAGCAGATAGGCTAGGACTCTTAGACCTGTTTAGTTCACAGGCTTAATTTTTATGGAAATCACAGTAAATAACAACGAACTCGACTAAGTCAAATACAGTGGACATACTGGACTCGAGTTCTCTAGACGAGTGTGTAAAAATCACCTCAACTAGAAAATTGACCCATTCTTTTCGTTTCAAAGGGAATTGACTTTAATTAAAGTCGGTTTAGATAATTTAAGGGTTTATCATTGGTAACGATCTTTTTACAATAAAATCAGCTAAGACTAGGTCTAGGGAAAACAGTTGATCGAGACTTTTACGAGGTAAAACTTCTTATCTGGGAGGTCGAGTGTTTTCTGTTGTTTTGCTCTGACGTTGCGCTGTTCACTTTTCGCTTTGTCTTTGCAATCCGGCCTTTTCTCACGGTCGGATGAATTGGCCTGGCCCCGTTGGGTTAAATTTATTTCCGACTAGGTATTTATAGAAGAACAAAAAACGTACACGCCATAGACCACGCTAATAAATCATGAATTTATATTTTGCGCCAATTTCTCAAAATTGTTCAATTTGGTTCTCGTTATTGTGGTTCATTGTGACAATTTGGCAAATGCTGGGAACTGTAGTGTCATGGTTCATGTTTTCGTTATGATAAAAAGCAGCATTCGGACATTTTAACGTTCTAGTTTTGAAGAGGACAAAGAGGTTTGTGAAGATTTACAGTGGAATTCTGACTTTCTCAACCTCTAAGGGAAACGAAAATGGTTTGAAAAATCGTGTTGTTCGAGAAATCGGGGGTAAAATTACAGTGTTCGACTGAGGAACGGAAAAGACTTTTGGTTAAAGTTATCGGGAGGTTCGAATTGAGGGTTCGAGAAATCGCGATTCCGCTGTATATCGCGAGTTCTGAGATATTTTACTACTAATAGATCTTTCTTAGCTTAATAGAGTCCATTTCTTTCACGGCAGAATTTGGCTTAAAATAAACCAAAGCAAACTTTGTTAACGAGGTTAAAATGTTTGTTTTCCGGCTGTAGATTGATAGTTTAAAGCAACCAAATTCAGCAAAAGTTCGGGCTCAAGGATAAGAAATAAGAACGCAATTTCGTATGTGTTAGAAGTCAGGTCATGAAATCTTAAGCTAATTATTCAATGACTGACGCGAGTTTCACAGTTTAAATCTCAGAAAATGTTGAAATGACATTTTTGGTACACTAAACAGCAACGTTTGGAAGCACAATATGTCAAGGACAGCTAAGACAACTCACGGTTCTTGAAATTTCAATGCTTCAAATCTGTTTCAGGAGAGATTTTAAAGCACGATTTTCGTTAGTGAAAAGGTATAGTAAACCACTCTAACAACGTTTAAAAATCTCTCTAATAATGTCTTTAAAAGATAGTCTGTGTTCAGAAATTCCCTCATTATCTTAGTGCCTATACTTCACAGCTCTTCAACTTTTCATATACATGATCTTCATCGTTGGTGGAAAGCTATTACTGAAATTATCACACTTACCCATGGTTAAGTATTGAGTAACGTTAGATGCGTCTCTCTGGAAATCTTGATATCCTTGTTTGTACTTCAAGTACTTATCTTCACTTAGAGTTTTCCTCAAAGACTGTGTGTCTCTTTTATACATTTTGACTGCGGATGTCCTTCGTATTATTTCTTCCATGTACACTGTTGAAGGTGATTTCATCACATTTAAGTCATACTCTAAAAGAGCCGTTTTAGGAGTCGTTAGAAATGCTCTTCCTCGTTTAAGTTCCAGGGAATGTCACTCAGTGGAAAATTTTCCTGTTTCTACTGGTCGCTACTGCTTTCTGATCCGGCCGCGAGAAGGCAATCATGCGAGGAACGGGATAAAATAGAGCAAGCCTGTGCTAAAAGTAATTTCGGTTATGCAATGACGCATGCGGATGGTTCCGGCTTGACTCAGGCCAAGAAGTATTCCCGAGTCTTTAAAAATCACCCATATTTTCTTAGTTTAGGAGTCTTTCAAAAATATATACATTCTTGACATTTCGGTTATGTGCGATTTTCAAGTGCAGTGTGGTCTTGTGTTGGTGTTAGTCATAACTGATGATAAAAGCAACGCGGGTCCATTTTTCTGGCTCATGATTTTAATGTCGATGTTTCAAGTTCCATAGTACTAGCAGGTTATTTTCACTTTAAAAGCTCAATAAAATACGTCACCTTTAACGAGTTAAGCAAAAACTGACTGAGCAAACGGGAAAACTGAATCGAAACCACTGCGAGAATTAAAATTCTGTTTCTGATCACACAAAAGCGTCCACACCTAGGCCTCGATAACAAAAGCTATTGTGACTGACTCAGTGTTTCTAGATTTCAGATTTTGCTCTCCATGTTTAATGACAATTATTTATTTGTTTTGCCATAACTTGAAATTTAAGTTTTGCTGTCAATCTTGTGACGTCATTTTCTCACCAAAAACCGTTAAAATCGAAAAACAAAAAAACATGCGATTTCTTGGAATACAACGTTCTACCATCCTGCAAAGTGTGAGCTCAGACGAATAAAAAATGCCAAAGTAGTTCCAAGGATGCACTTTTAGACGTCCATCTACGCCCACCTTGTACCCATTCCCTCTCCCCACCCCACATTCGAGGTTGAATCCTCGTATGTACAATTTTTCTGGGCTTTCTAAATTGTATAGGGTGAGAAAGAGAAACCGTTGGTTTATGCATTTTTTTTTAAAAAACACTGCTTTAATTAAGGCATCCTAAAAATTACACGTAATTACGAAAATTTTATGACTGTCCCTGAAAAACTCCCAAGGACTTTTGTCCGGGATTGTCGAATTTTTGGTCGTAGAAAAAAAGTGCGCGTTTTGTATTTGTCTACACCTTTTTGGCATTGTGGACACAAGCACGAGACATATTACCCGTTACTGTTTGATGAATAGTATTTTTCTTAAGGCGTCAGAGCAATCGTCAAGACTCCGCCATTGTAGTTGTCCGTTGTGTCATTGCTAATTGACTTATGTAGTTGTAGTTGGAAAGGGCAAGAAAGACACTTGTCTAATCTAAAATTGAGTTATTCTGTAAAAACTCTATACAACTGTAAAACATGAGTTGTAATTTGTTGTCTTCTTGCATTTTGTGACTTCAAGTTGTAAAGTAAAATACGATTTTGGAGTCCTATAGTCATCATTTTCTTTGTCGATATCGGGGGTTTGCAAATGCTACGAAAGCTGCTCCGAAATCAAAGTGTTGTTTTTTTTAACGGCTATCATTATATTTGTCGCTCCTTGTTATACCTGGCGATTAAAAAGATATTAAAAGATTCAAGTAGACATTATTTAATTGTCACCCTCCAATAAGAGTCGAGGTATTTAGGTGTTATTACTACTTCGAAGTAGGGAGTTCCATCCCCGCCAAAAATCAAAGTAGATCACACAACATTCAACTTGAGAGTGTAACATTTGACTTCAGAAAGATCACCATTTACATTTTGCAGTTCAATTTAGTAGTTCTTAACTCAATCGTCAAACCTTTAGACTTCAACTTTCTAAGTGAGAGTTCAACATTAAACTTTGTCCATCAACATTCAAGTTTACTGATCAACATTGCTCTCGATACATACCCTTTCCCCGAAAGATGAACTTTAAACCATCAAGTTAGTTGTTGAGTTACCAAAATTAAAGGCGTACCAATCCCGCCAAAAATCAAAGTGGATCACAACATTCAACTTGAGAGTTTAACACTGAACTTGAGAAAGATCAATATTACGTATACGTTTTGCAGTTCAACTTCGTAGTTATTTTCATCAATATTCAATCCCGCCATAAATAGAAGTTCAAAGTCTTCAATTTTCGATTCAAGAGTTCAACATCAAATGTTACGTATCAACATGCAACTTCGGCAATCAACATTGGTATCACACATACCAAGGTGAGATTTTGCCTTTGAAGTTGATCATTTTTTACCCATTTTAAAAAGTACGTTTGATGGTAGGTTTTAAAAAACCGTAAAAAATTCAATGTTTAAAACATACTATGAATAGAAAGAAAAGATAAAATTCTTTTCAAGAAAAATTATTTCTGTTTTATAGCTTTCAATCTTGCCTCGGTACAGACGCGGTAAAGTAGGTCATTTTTACACTAATTTTTGCATAATCAATTAGGTAAAAACCGCTATTTTCGTTTTTCCTCATTTTCTCGAAAACTAAAGATTCTTAAAAGTTAAAAATATTTTTTAGTTCCCCAAAGGGGTTTTTCTGACAAATTATCAGAATTTGCGATTTTTTTAGCCTGGCCAGCGATTCTCGATATTTACAGTCATGGGCTCAAAGAGCGGTACTTTGTAGTTATTAATCGTAAAGGACGTCATTTACGATAAATAATCATGTCAAACATAGTTAATGATCGTGAAAACCACGATTAATAACTACTTTTTACAAACTTTGTAGTTATTAATCGTGAAATTTACAATTATAAACTATGTTTGGCAGGCTTTGTACGACTAGTTACGTTCGACGAAGGAGAACGCTTACTATTCGTGTACCGTACACGAACTAGTACCCGTTCTCTATGCCATACGATTTCACGGTTTGGACGCCATCTTGGACCGGCCTGGCACACTTTTCCTCGATCTCATGTGTTCAGTTTTTCTCGCCTGGGAGCTGGTATTTATTTTGAGACACTCGTTCACAGATGAAACGTTGGCGATTTTCTGTTTACGACAGGTTTGTTTATAGTTTTTCTCGCAGCTTTCATTTAAGTTTTCTTATCATAGGAAAATTTCCATTCTAAGATAATCGGATTTGTAGATATTATGTTAACAATGTGTTTTGCACACTTTATTTGTTTTTATGGATTCAAGCAAGATCAGCTTAGATAGATCGACCATATTTGATTCTATTACAAATAACATCTTTTCGCTTTTAAAAGCTATTTACAGCGTTGTATTTGCTTTTATTTCTCATCATTTTTGAAAAATATACAAGAAGTTGAACAGTGAAACGTCGACCTTTTCATCTCACTAATTCCGGGTGCGTTGTATTTTGAAAACAGTGCTACTTAGGTGAGTCGTGTTAACCTAGTGTCACACGACAAGGGTTTAAAGTGATACGCGACGCTTAAACTTTTCAGAAAACTTTAATTTTCTGTATCCCAATTTTTAGCCAATTTTATTGATTATCCTATAGTGCAAAAGAATACCCTGAGGGTCATGGTCAGTGTTTGACCTGTTGTTACTTACATGTACTTTAGTTAGAGGTTTAGCCAAGTAAATGTAAAAAGTACAGTACGCTGCAAATGTTTTAAAATGTTAGTGTCTGAAGTCAGAGAAGTGTGTTTTTTGGTAGTCCTTATTTCGTCATATTTAGCCGTTAAAAAACACCAAGCTCTTTTCAAATGCGACGACATTTCTTAGCCTTCTATTCAGCTCTTATGTGAACCTTTTTTTAGACCCCGATTAGATACTCCAATTATCTGTCTGGACACTCAGAAGAAATCTTCTCAAATCCTCTTGAATTTAAACCTGAACGTTGGTTGAACACGGAAAAGACTGGCCCTCACCCTTATGCATCAATTCCATTTGGCTTTGGGCGACGCATGTGTATAGGTAGGTGTCTTTTTATCACACAGATTTACTGCTTCTGCCTCGTCGCAGGTCTCCTTCTTTGCTCTTATGCGACGCTGTCGCCCCACGTAAGGGAATCTAACACAGTCTTGGGCTGGATTCCACGCCATGGATTCCGGATTCCAGGTACTGAATTCCAGCATTTGTAAGTGGAACATTGGATTCCGGATTCCAATCGTCAGTGGGATTCCGGATTCCTTGTGCTGTATTCCGGATTCCAAAACCCAGGATTCCGGATTCCACAAGAAAAAATTTCCCGATTCCGGAATCCGGATTCTCTTACACGGGGGAGCGTTGTGTCTTGAGAAGATGTGCTTTCTGTTTTTCGAATTAAAGTGGCGCCTTGAATCTAGGCAGCATCCCGGCGATTTTCTCTCTTGGTTATAGTCACTCATTATTACTGCTTTTCTTACTGAGACTGGCTCCTTTTTTGATACAGGACGACGCGTAGCTCAGACTGAACTCTGCCTTTTGGCCGCAATGGTAAGGAGCTGATTGTGGAATTACAAACAAAGTGCGATGAATATAATGGCCTGTGCTAGCTGGCGGAATTATTGTTGCTCGTGCGAGAGTTTTGGCGGCGATGCCGCCACTCTCGCGCAGCTTTGCCGAGAGAAGTGAGCGCCGAATAACTTCTTGGAATTTCAAAGCTTCTACCCCCGGCCCAATTCTCCGCACGTCTTCGCAGCTCCTCTGCCAAAACTTTCCTCGCGCAAACGATCCCGCCGGCTACGCAGGCTATGATTATTACAAATTGCTGAAGTACA